AGACACTGCCTGCCATCCCATGGGACCCGGCTGGGTCTGTGGCCACGGCATGTGTTTGCTCAAGCCGAGCCTATTTTCAGGAGGTTGTCTTTACCAGCTGCTGCCTGTGTTTACGTAGAGTTGGCCAGAGAGGAGAAACCTTCCTTGGTTGGTTCCGAGTCTTAGCTCTGATATTTGCCTGGCACATAGTACATGGTCAAAACCCAGCAGCTATTGATATTATTAGTCATATTTGATCTTATCTGAAAAAGTCAAGAGTGACACTGGGCAAGTCTACTAGAGATGATCGATTCATACAGACAGAGCTATTAAAGGATGTCAACCCAATCACATCATAAGATACTGTTCTCAATCCACAAATAACCCAACCAGTTATTGGCATTATGAAATTTTGTAAGCGATCCGGGGGAGACCAATTTGATTTTTATCAATTGGAATTTGTAGACTGTAACTGGTCAGAGTCCACATGGAGCTCTGATGAGTGTATTCAGCTTCTACGTGTTTCATGTGACCTTGATGTAAAGAGCTGCTGGAAGGACTCTCCTGTTCCAAACATCTTCCCTCCTCCTCTTCTGGAAAAGCATCTAAAACCCAAAGTAGGCATGGAATGCAGTCTCTTAAATTGATTCAGAATTATGTTTTCTTAAAAACCATACAACAACAGAAAGCTGAAAACTCTGCCAATATTAGTTGTAAAAGGAAATTTTTTGCCCCTGAGATATGGATCTTCTCTTATATTTTACTCTTATAAGAGAGAAAATAAAAGATGGTCATTGACTTACCCGGACAAAGTGAAAGAGGTCACAACTTGAGCTGGGCTTTCTGATGGTGAGAGTGGCCTTTGGAGGTATCTTCTGTTCTGGGAAGCCCTGTGGAAGTGTGGTGGCCTTAAATTACATAACTCCTACTCCAGTGATGTCATTGGCTGGACTGCTGAAAAATTGAGTCTTTCAGACAGAGGAAACAAGCTGGAATTTTGAAAGAAAAACAACTTTGCACTTTGGGGCTGAAAAGTGATTGATTACTCAACTACCATCTCCATCTTTAATTTCGTAACATCTGGGAAGGTCCCGCGATCCTGCCCAAGAATGATACAGTGACCAACATGCTCTTAAAACACATTTTGGCGTCGCTGAGTCCCCACAAGTCTGAGTGATGATTTTACCCATTCGCACTGGGGACCTGAATGCTTGGGGTTCTGCAGCAGCTTTTGTGGGAGCTGACTTGAATGTCCACTTTTGAATTTTGGTCACGAAGTGTACATCACCAAGAATCCATCACTGTGGACCCCATTAAACAAACAGTGAGCCACAAAAAGCTTGACTCATGCAATAGACAGAGCTGAGTAAGGTCAGATGCACTTTTCCATCATCTTCCCTGGCAGTTCTGAAGTCTGTTTTTGATGTAAGTCTGCGGATATCAAGTTGGACCACTCAGGGCCTCGTGTTCAGACAGTCTGACACTTCTGGCTTTTTTTGAGAGTCAGACCTCAAGAGCGTTTGACCGAATGCCACCTGCTTTCTATCTTAGCCCCTAAAAATGAAGATG